GGGGGGGGGGGGGGGGGTGGTTGAACTTCAAGGTTTAGGGCTTCAAGTGCAAGCTTATGGGAGTCGACCTTGGTTTTGGGTTGTGGAGTTTGGGCTTTCAGGTTCTTTTGAGGTAAAGACCAACAAAAGCATCCAAGACGTTCTGTTGTGTGCAGCTTTTTCCGATGGCAGTCATCATCGAGCTTTGTGTTTCCTCTACGGTTCCAAAACCGTAAGTCGAAGTCCAATACCCAAAGCTCTTAAACCTTAGAATCTGAACCCCGAAGCCCCAGAGACTGCAAGAGGAGCGGGCGAGCCGCCTCCAGCTCTTCGGCGTAGAGCTGCCGGGTCGTGGAAGAAGGGCCGAGGAGACTGACTATTTTTGTTATGACTCTAAGTAGTGCATCGTTCCATGATGGCGGTTATTAGTTTTATTGGTATTAGTAGAGGAGACTGACTATTTTCTTAGTGGCTGAGTAGGTAGCCTTTAGCCTTTTGGGGCTCTTATCATCCTACTATAATTCAAAAGGTTAACCTTTGTTGGGCTAGGGTACTCAGCCCCTAAGTTTTTGTTGTGACGTATGAGCAGCGCATCGTTCCATGATGGTGGTTATTAGTTTTACGGGTATTAGTACTACTGTTATTGTTTGTATTGTTATTGTTATGGTTATTGTTATGAGTGTTATTGGCCTGTTGTTGTTATTGTTGTTCTGATTTTGGTACTATTAATATTATTACTATTATGATTGATATAATTGCGATTGCTATCATTGGCGTTGTTGATGTTTTGCTAAGTCTATTTTCCTGCTTGGTATTATACTTATGATGATGTTTACGCTTATCATTGTTGTTCTTACCATTGTCGTTACTACGATTGTTGCATTGTTGTATTATTTACGCTTCGTATTGTGATTATGAATCTTATAATGACGGTGATGCTGATGATGATGCTGCTGATGATGGTCATGATATCTGTGACGATGACGACTAGCATCATTCTGATTATGATTGTTGTTGTGCAAGTCAAGGAGCGGGTGCTACTCTGCAACGTATCAGGGCGCTTGGTAAGAAGGGTTAACATTATGACCCCATTTGATAAGTGCCCTGATCGGCTCAGCAGTGGGACGGGTGGGGTTTACGCTCTTGGATGTGTTAGGGGCGTGGGTTCGCAGCTACTGTAGAATCCTAAATAATTACCAGTACTATTTTGCTATTTGGGGGGGGTGGGGTGGCGGTCCTTATTGTAATTAGAGTATAATGTACCCCAAAACCTTATTGGAATTATTAAGGCCCCTACAGTAGGGGTTTGTAAGGTCAGGGAGGGCTTGGGAGAAACGGGTTCTCGAGGCCTCCCGCCTAAAACGCCTTCAACTCCGAATCCCTACCGTAAACCCCAAACCCTAAACTGAAGCCTCTGCTCACAAGAGCGAGAGGAGCCAGTGGTGTCGGACTTCACGGAGCTCTTTGAGGCCAGAAAAGCCTGCGGAACCGATAAGGGTTGTTCAACCCGATCACACCCTACAGAAGCCCATAAAATCCAGAACCCTATAACACCTCGTAGATTCATGGCCCACGTAAGACCTTTTCACGGAGCTGTAGAGGTGAAGAGGCTACAAGTTTGAAGCGCTGTGTTTAGGGTTCATGGCTTCAGGGTTTTAGAAATTTCGGGGTCTCGGGCACAACCTGGTGTCGGGTTCATGTCTTAACTCCTGCAGCCCTTCCGTTGGTTTACGCTGCTGGGTGTAATGAGGGTGTTGGGTTTAGGTTCCTGAACTTCTGCACTCACTCCCAATGAACCCTAAAATCCTAAACCCTGAAAAACCCTAAAATCCTCAACCCTGCAGGTTCTGAGGGAGGATGTCATGAAGTGGGCGAGGCGGGATGGCAGTCAACTTTCGGCTTTCCGGTGGTCTTGGTGTTTGGGTTTCAGGTCCCGGACTTAATGTAGGGGCCTTAAGATCATAACGACCCTTAGGGGGGGTAGGGGGTCATAATACCCGTAACAAATAAGGCCGATTCAAGGAAGTATCGTCCCCTCCCCCCTCCCCTTTTCCCGCCGAGGGGTCCCTATGATAATAATTACCTATACTATTTCGGG